GCAGCAGCAACTGCTGCAGCAGCAAAGAAGAGCAGAAACAGCAGCAGAATTGTCTCCATCTACATCTCGTATTGGTCGTGCTGCTTCTCGTTTGTTTGCTGCAATAAAACAAAAACTCCCGCAGCAGCAGCAGCAGCAGCAGCAGCAGCAGCAGCAGCAGCAGCAACTGCAGCAGCAGCAGCAGCAGCACGACCAAATGCATGCAGACCTCAGCAGCAGATTTCCTTCTCTATTACCCCAAGACCTATCTGATGATTCTTTTGTTTCTTCTCTCTCTGCAGCAAGCAAGCAGGGGGGCCCCCTTGGGGGGGGCCCCCTTGGGGGCCCCCCACGAGATATAACAAAGGGGGGCCCCCCCGATAGAGAAGTAATAAAGGGGGGGGCCCCCTATACAGATAAAGGGGAGGGGGGCCCCCCTCTCCTCTCTCATATACCCTCAAGGGGGGCCCCCCACTACCCTAGGCGAAGCCTTTCAGGGGGCCCCGCGGGGGGCCCCCCAAAGTGGGCCCCTAGGGGGGGGGGCCCCCACACCCGCAGCCCCTCGGGGGGCCCCCCTCACAGGAGCCCCTCGGCGGGGCCCCCGACCTGGACCCCCTCGGGGGCCCCCCTATACGGGGGCCCCGTGGGAGCCCCCGGCGTATCTAGAGGGGGCCCCTCGGGGGCCCCCCTATCTGGGGGGGGCCCCCCGGGGGCCCCACTAGCTGGGGGCCCCTCGGGGGCTTCCCCTAGCTGGGGCCCCTCGGGGGCCGCCGGCGTATCTAGGGGGGCCCCCTCGGGTGCATCTCCCCCCTCTAGGGGCCCCTCAGGGGCCTGGGGGCCCCCGGGGGCCCCCCAAAGCTCCTCTAGGGGGGGCCCCCAGGGGGCCCCCCAAAGCTGTTCTAGGGGGGGGCCCCCCGGGGGCCCCCTCTTTGATGGGGGGTCTGTAAGCCTACCCAAAGAAGAGGCAGTGTTTATACAGCCGGCGATGCCAGGGCAAACTGCTGCTGCTGCTGCTGCTGCTGCTGCAGAAGAAGAAGAAGCAGCAGCAGCAGCAGCAGCAGCAGCAGCAGCAGCAGCAGCAACAGCAGCAGAAGAGAAGCGGTGGAGGCGAGGAAGAACGAGAGAGAGTCCAAGTGTAAGCAGCCCCCCAACAGCAGCAGCAACAGCAGCAGCAACAGCAGCAGCAGCAGCAGCAGCAACTGCAGCAGAAAGAGCAGCAGGACAAAGACGCCTTTCATCTTGCTGCTTCTCAGAGCCACAGCAGCAGCAGCAGCAGCAGCAGCAGCAGCAGCAGCAGCGGCAGCAGCGCAGTGAGAGCGGGGGGCCCCCCCATGCCTCTCCTGCTGCATACAACCAGCAATGGGGGCCCCCAAACACAGACAAACAAACGGGGGCCCCTCCAGCTACAGACATATGGGGGTCAGCTAGCCCCTAGGGTTTAGGGTTTAGGGTTTAGGGTTTAGGGTTTAGGGTTGCTGCTGCAGCAGCAACCCTATTCTCCCCGCTCAACCGCAGCTACAACCCAACCAACAGAGTTCTACACATTCGAGTTTAGGGTTTAGGGTTTAGGGTTTAGGGTTTATAAGCTTTAGGGTTTATAAGCTCTAGGGTTTAGGGTTTAGGGTTTAGGGTTTAGGGTTTAGGGTTTAGGTATTTTGTTTCACAGTTGCGCTTCCGGGAAAATCTTTGCAGTTCGCTACATTGCCCAACTGGCACGGCCAGCTAGCTAGCTAGCTAGCTAGCTAGCCAGCTAGCTAGCTAGCTAGCTAGCTAGCTAGCTAGCGAGCTCTTAGTGGCTAGCTAGCTAGCTAGCTAGCTAGCTAGCCACGAACTTAGCGTGCTAGCTAGCGAGCTAGCTAGCTATAAATAGAAGTAAACAACCCGGTTGGCTCGCTAGCTGTACTTGATCCAGCTAGCTAGCTAGCTAGCTAGCTAGCTAGCTAGCTCTTAGTTTCTAGCTAGCTAGCTAGCTAGGTGGATGGCTAGCTGGCCAGCTAGCTAGCTAGCTAGCTAGCTAGCTGCTCATGTAGCTAGCTAGCTAGCTAGCTGGTTAGACAGCTAGCTGCTTAGGTAGCTAGGTGGATAGACACACCTGACACGTAAGGCTAGCTAGCCACCAAGCTACCCAGCTAGCTAGCTAGCTAGCTAGCCAGCTAGCTAGCTAGCTAGCTAGCTAGCTAGCTAGAGTTTGTCTGGTGTTGCATGGGGTGTTCTCGCATCACCAGTGAAGGTAAAGAAGGGAAAAACGAAAGAGAAGAAAAACCCTTTATACAACCGGC